GGATTATCTGAGTCAAAGGAGATCATCTGATATTGTAGAGAAGCTAAAAAGCACACGAAATAAGTCAGCGAAGCGTACGAGTCTGTGAAACATGTTAAACGATAAAGGAACAACTCTATGAGTGTTTTGCCTATAGAAAGTTGTAGATCTCTTCATCAGCTTTCTAACGCATCTTAGATCATCTCATTCCGAGATCGGACGAGGGAGTTAGAGCCAAAATACCCGAGGCAACACAAACTGTCTTGGAAGTGCGAGATAGACTTTACTGTCTCGGAATGCGAGATAGTCATGACTGTCTCGCACCAAATCTGAAGAAGGTCAAAGATAAAAGTTGTAGATCTCTTCGTCAGATTTTCAACGCATCTTGGATCATCTCATTCCGAGATCGGACGAGGGAGTTAGAGCTAAAATACCCGAGACAACACAAACTATCTCGGAAGTGCGAAACAGACTTCACTATCTCGGAATGCGAGACAGTCATGACTGTCTCGCACCAAATCTGAAGAAGGTCAAAAGACAAAAGTTGTAGATCTCTTCATCAGCTTTCCAACACATCTTGGATCATCTCATTCCGAGATCGAACGAGGGAGTTAGAGCCAAAATACTCGAGATAGTACAAACTGTCTCGGAAGTGCGAGACAGACTTCACTGTCTCGGAAGTGCGAGACAGACTTCACTGTCTCGGCCATAGAGTTGGTTACAACACGTTTTTTGACGGTTTTTTGGCTTCATAACTACTTGAGATCAACCATAAACGTGGGGAGATGGTTACAAACTGAGGGGAGACCCACTAACATCATAAAAGGATGGTATTTAGGTAGTGGGAGAATGGTGACAAAAGGGGGCTGATTAGAGAGCATCCAAGGGGGCTGATTAGAGAGCATCCGATCGAGCACTTGATAGAGCAATTCAGAGCAGAGAGAGAGCAGACTTGAGTTCTTGGTGTGATTCCTTGAGATTCGAGCTTTGAGTTGATATTAAGAAGAACGATTGTCTTACTTTGATAAGATATTCGTTTCAAATTCTCACTTCGATAAACGAAGGAAGAATCATTAAGCCCCCTTCACGATCTATGATTCGGCGGTCCACGAGTTAAAGCGCTCCCGGCACAGGCAAAATCCCACAAAAGCAGGAGTTGATAAACAATTTCTGTGTTATTTTCTCAAAAGTTGTATTTTTGCTTATTTTCATTGTAATTCTCTGTAAACAATCTAAGTTTTAATGGAATCATCAATGGAAACGACTTTCGGCGAAAACACCAGGCTATGCCATTTGTCGCACGTAACTCTACGTATCTGATTGACAAAATTGACCCGGGGCTGCATATTCAGGTAACTAATGAGATGACTAGAATTACGCTGACGGCGAACTCGATGGACGATCTCATGGGGTATGTTATACAATATTTAGGCGGTGCTATTCCTTCGCTGACGGCGAACTCGATGGACGATCTCATGGGGTATGTTATACAATATTTAGGCGGTGCTATTCCTTACAGCGCGTATGGTGGTATCATACGGATCATTAGCTCGATTGGCGATGATTCCGGCGCTAGACAGAGTAGTGCTCAGGTACCTTATTTTTTCTTATATTTATAAATTCATTTTTATCTAATATATTATCAAACACCACATAATGATTATTCAATTAAATATTCAGAGTGGAGATAATGGAGGGAGCAGCACCCGTTCTCGTAATCGGGATAGAGATACCCCCGCCGACGACGATGGATGAGGTTTTTTTATTTTTAATGCAATAAATAGTTTTATTTGTTATAACACTACATTTATTCATGTCGTGTATCCTATCTTAGTCATGTGCATTGTTAGTTTGTTATAACACTACATTTATTCATGTCGTGTATCCTATCTTAGTCATGTGCATTGTTAGTATATATGTTATTGGATGTGTATTAAATGGAACTGATTGATGTATATTTTGAGTTGGATGATTGGATTTGTGCAATGTGTTGGATGTGGTTATATTTGGTTTTTGGATGGAATTATTATGAATTTTGATTATAATTGGATGGTTGAATATATTCACGTGTACAGTATTTTCTGGATGTATTTATTAATGTAATTGTACAGGAAAGTATAAATTGCAATTAATTTTTTTTTTGCTGGAAAAAAGGCAACCTAGACGGAATTCCGTCTATATTGAGTCAATTTAGACGTAATTCCGTCTAGGTTGTGAAAAACCAACCTAGACAGAATTTTCGTCTGGTATAGCAGATCAGACGGAATTCCGTCTGGTCTGCTATACCAGTCGGATTTTCGTCTGGTATAGCAGACCAGACGGAATTCCGTGGAATTCCGTCTGGTCTTCTATACCAGACGGGAATTCTGTCTAGGTTGACTTTCGTCTAGTTTGACTCAATCTAGACGGAAGCAAAATAAACCACCCAAACTAGACGGAATTCCGTCTACATGAACTAATCTAGACGGAATTTGGATCAACCTAGACGAAAATTTCCATCTAGGTTGATCAGTTTTCTACTAGTGATAAGCTAATTTATAATTGTAATGAAAAATATGAACAAAGTAGTCAACTTTACGCTCTATATCTAACAAACTTGATGATGATTGGAGCTACTTTTACAGACATGGAGATTTTGTGGTTAGTTATGTATGTGCATGATTCTAATGGGTATTATTTAAAAAATGGTTTAGTTACCAAATTGACATTTTAGTAGGAACTCTTTTCCAACTTTGGTTTTCTTTTCTTTCACTTGCCATGTATCCTATTGATGTCAAAATTAATACCAATCTGATTATTTTTTTCACTACTAAAAATATCAGTTATGTTCATTTCGTATATAAAATGATATCAAACTGACTTGAAATATCAAAATTAATATCATAATGTCGCAAGTGAAAGAAATAAAAAAAATGACATATTGAGATTATGGTTTTACTAAAAATACCAATTTGATAATATAAGGTATGAAAAATCCAAAAAGAAGATTTTGGTTACAAGGAAGCATTTCCACACAATTCCTCTAAACTTATCCAATAAAAGTAACATAAATTGAAGAAAAAGATACAGATTGATTCAGATCATTTCTAATTAGGTGGTAATTGGAGAGTACTCAATTTTTTCAATAATTGTCATACCTTCTGAATTTAAGGGACGAGATTAGATAATGTAGAATTCCACGATTGTGATAGTGGTTTTGAAAAAATGGTGGTAAGGAAAAAAATAATAGTTTTCAAGTTCATAGTGGCTTTCCTGAGTGGCTTAATATCAACCTTTTATTCAAAATATATGTTAATGATTGCAAAAACTGGACACTATTAAATTACCTCATAATTAGAGAGGATTGGGTTCGAGATATGGAAAGCTGCAAACATGTAAGAAGCAGATAAGAGGTAGATGGATCCATAGACGGATATATAGTGTGTGGTACTATATATAATATATATATATAGTACTATATATATGAGTATAAAGGTATATATATATATATATATATATATAATATATATATATCTAGAGCACAAAACTTATATTAATGATTCATTATATTACGTATTTCCGAATAAACGTACATTGTGGTCTTTCTGGCAAAAAGAGTTCAAAAAATACGTACTGGAGGGGTGACCGCGAAAGGAACGCGCCAGCTAAACTAAAGAAGCCAAAAATTTATTTGTGCCTCCACTGACCCAAAAGGAGTCAAAAAGAGAACAGACACCGGAGTAAAATTTTTTCCGCGAAGCAAAAAATAAAAACAATGAATCCAGCCGACGGCTATCTCGTCACCGCTGAGCAGCCCCTGGGCGAGCTTACGCGAGGAGGACATCGGCCCAGCTCACCCGCGGAGGACTGCCGCGTTTCTCAACGAAAGGTAGAATAGCGCTTGCTCTCCCGCCCAACCTCTCTCTTCTCTCTCTCTCTCTCTATATATATATATATATAATATATGAGGTAGCTTTCGCACATCAGTAACTGCGGCGTTGTTCGGTCGCAGGATGCGTCGGCGTCGTGAACAAGGCAGGCGATCCGCGGTCATCATCCCTCAAGCGTCTTCTAGAAGACTCGGCCCCGACTCCACTCGTCGCGCAAGTAAGAGTAGCCTCCTTGCAAGCCGGCGGCGGCGGCGGTGTAACTTCAACCGCATGGGCTTTTTTTTTTTTTTGTTTTTTGTTTTTTGATTGTTATTTTTTTTTTGACGCCGACGCTCGTAACGTCGCCCTTTTTTTTGTTTAAATTGGCTGCATGTCGGTCGATGAGTTGCGATTTTTGGTTTTTTGGTGTCTCTTTAAGGTTTCGGACTGTCGCCGTAGACGGAGGAGGGACCCGAGGCCTGATCCAGATTCGATCCGATCGCAGCCGCCGAACGTTGACACCGCGTGCGCCTCGCGCTGGCTCTCCGGCCTCGACGAGGTCGCCGCCGGAATGAGGATCAGCTCCCCGGCCAGGTGGCTTTTTCTTTTTAGAGCGCTTAGATTAAACCCCCAATTATATTTTGCTAATTGCGCCGGCCGGCGTCGGATTTCTGTCTGCTCGCCGCCTGGTGGCTCTGGCTAACCTGTGCCTGTCCGCGCTATGATGCGCCGGGCGGATTTCATCCTAGGAATTCCTCCGGTCAGATTCAGAACCCTCGCTTCTATTCTTCACGTCGATGTTTACCGCGCGCCTCTTTTTTCTTACATCTGGTAAAATTTTACCGGAATTTTGACGGCTGTGATCGCCGCATGCGCACCGCTTCCGCTAAATTGCGCCTCACTGTTCGGCGGTCCCCACTTTCTCTGGATTTGCCAAAGCACCTCCCGATGCCTCCCACTAAACTGCACGACTACGGTCTTTTTTTCTACTCTTTAACCCCTCACCGTTGTTTGTTAATCCAACGGCTAGGATTCAGTGGCCCCGCCCCTATTAGTCCCTAATGATGTCGTGAACCGAGTGGACCCGACAAATTGGACGGCCCAGATTTTAACTTTGGTCTTGTTTCAGTCTCAGGGGAGATGCGGCTCAGATGACAATATTCTACGGCNGTTAACGTCTACAACGATGTTCCCCTCCGCAAGGTAAGCCCACAGGTAAGAATATCAGAAAACCCCCTTTTAAGTTTACGGCTTATCAGAACACCTCCCTTTAACTTCATTAAAAGTAACAGCATCAGCCACTATTTTTCACGTTGGTGGCTTAAATAACGTAGATGAATGTTTTTTTTTCCGGTGAAAATTGTGATTCACACTCTTTGATTTTTGGGGTTCAAGTGAAAATTGTGATTCACACTTTTTGGTTGGGGGTGGGGGGCTCTGATGAAGGGGTTTTTGATAACCTCTAAACTTGACTGGTGTTTTCTGATATTTTGAAAGTTATGATGGGAGTTTATGTGGTTGCTCATCTAAAGTTAGGTTGGTTTTCGGACGTTTAGCCTACTTTTGGATCCATTCACTTCTGATTTTGAACCCAAAACAATCTAAAGCTGATTTTTTTTTATAAATTTAGTTTCTGGGTCAGCTCTTATCATGATGTTTAAAGTCTTACGTTTCTTGCTATATTTGGTGCATCACTGACTATATTTGAATTTGATATGACATAGTTGGGTATAAAAGTAATTCAACATGTACTTTGCGTTTAAAATGACTTTGAAAGTTGAAGGGTTTAAAAATAGAGTCAGCATAAAAATATGGGTCTATGAATGAATCCCTTTTTTGTGTTAATTGCACCTTACTGTCATGCTTTGCGATTTCTTACTCTTGCAGTTTGATTTTGGTAGATAAACCCCGTAAGTGAAATGTGGCTCATTTACTCTTGGAAGAAGAGTTTTTATTTTTTTGGGAAATAGACTCTCTCAGGGTAAAAGAAAAATTTGCTCAGGATATATTTGCCAAAGTAAAACTAGAGGGGTAATAGGTTTCAAAATGCGACACCATAGAGGACCTATCACAATTAATTCTTTTTTTTTTCCCCGGCCGCGTGTGACCCACAATGCTTTATCCACTTGTCTCAGGCCCGAACAATTATGCAACTAGCCGCAATACCTATGGATCTCAATGAACCACCACCGACTGATCCACTTGATCCGCACGTGGCAGTTCATTCTTGTATTGATCTAGTCAATGTGAGACCAGAGGTGACTCGCATGCCTGAAGGCGAGGATAATCTTGGAGGATACACAGGTAAGCACTTGTCTTCGTTTTAGCATGAAAGTTGCATGTTTTTGGGTCTCTGTTAACCAGAATATACATCATTAGTAAGATATAGCTTGTTTGACATTTTGCTGTGAGGACCTTATAGTATTCTCTTAATTCGTTTTAAGGCTGAAATTTTGCCAGAACCATAGTAAGTTGTGAAGTATTAGGAAAATCACATGTTAGCGATGTAGAAGATACAGACCTTGACCTACGCTGTAATTCTAGATATACATTGGTCATGCAACATAAGATGTGGAAGCGAGATATCATGCATAACTTTATCTAACATCTGTCAATTGCAACTAACATCTGTCAATTGCAACTACTTGTTGATACTTAATGTCAATCTTCAACATAATGATGATGACACATATGTCTCCGTGACCATCTCCTCATTAATCACGATACTTGATTGAACTTCATCATCTCAAAAAGAAATCGATGATACAGGAAAACAATTAGTTCATGACGCACACAATTGCATATAGAAAGAGCTTATTCATAGCTCCAAAAAAACCCTTTTTCTATATGCTGCAACATGGGTGTTATTTGGATGTAAGTTCATGGGTCACAAGAGTATCGTCTATTGGACTAAAGACTTGGTCCTTAAAGAAAGAGCTCTAATTTATTAGGCAAACATCCGATCAAATCCTGATTTGGACTCGGTGTAACCCTCTCAAAACCCGAGCGCTAGTTGGGTTAATGTTGATCGACGAAACAGTCCACTCAAGCTCAGGCTAGACCGCTCAAGCCACACAGGTTCAATGCCTAGACCTACTTGGACAAGGGTTGGATCAAACAATATATAAATCAAAAGAAAAAGTGAATAAATAAATAAACTTGTGGAGTATCGCCCATATACTTAGGAGTTAGATAACATGTACAAAGAAATGAAGTTGATAACTTCCTCCTACAAGCCTAATGAAGTTGATAACTTCCTCCTACAAGCCTTAGGATTGGATTGTTTTCTTTTTTGTTGTTTTTTTCTACAAAAGAAAACATGTTAAAAATGGTTAAATAGCTCAGGATTTAAAGAGGAGTATGAGGGTTTTCATGAGTGTTATAACCTAATGATGCAGAACGGAGTTGATGATGAATATTGCTATGGTGAAATTTGCTGGAATATGCCCTCGAACATCCAATACATTTTATGTAATATTTTTAAATATTAATAAAGATTTTATTGTTGCACATATAAGTTGGGTATCATTTCTATAATTGTCATAGTATCTTTAGAAATTGTTTTGTTAGATCATGCACTGTAATGGTCACTTGCTTGGAGATATGATTTAACTTAGAGATTTCTTAAACTCATGCTCAACCTATAACTAGTACATGATAAATTTGTTATAACATGTTATTATGCATGACACCGACATATGAGAGGTAGTAGTGAGTCTCAATAATTGTGAATGGGGATTCTTCGGGTTTATGTCATAAACACACATTGTGATGTGTATAGCACTAGACCGCATTTGGATTCCATAGGACGAGTCACCTAGGAGATGAAGAATTCAAATTGTTACATGGTTCATTTGACTTGATATTGACATTTCTAATTTGCTAATTTAGTATGCTTTGATGTGATGGTTTAGCTTGTTTAGCAAGCGTTACACAACCTGAAACATTAGGCTATTAAATTCCATTTAGAGAAATAATTGATATCTACATAGGATCTAATATGTTCATTATGATGAGTTAATTTATTATGCATTCCCATGAAGTTATTAAATTCCTGTTGGTAGGTGGTTTTAAAAAATATTTTTAAATTTTATTTTTTTTAAATAAAATATTTTGATGTTTTAAAAGAATTTTTTATTATGTTCACGGGAATTGTAATTTAAACATGAGCAAATAGGTGAATTGTCCTGCTTAAAAGAGTTGCTTAAAATAAATAATACTGGAGGGGACTAAATATAAGATATCATTTATAAATAATTAATCCATATTATAGAATATCTTTTTTATGAATAGTTGGTTGGATAGAGATTTGACTGTTAAATTAAAATTATTAGTTTGATTAATAGTTGGTTCTCGATATGAGATCTATCCTTAATTGTTATGGAAAGAATATAATTGTAATACAATTCTATTTCTCTTCTTAATTGGTCTTATTAATGTCATTAGAAGAGTTATAATTGCAATACAATTCTATTTCTATCCTTAATTGTTATGGAGAGAATATTCTCTTTTTAATATTATGGAAAGAGTTTTGAACAATTAAGAATTGTTCAAAATAAAAATCTGTAAGGTAAGTCTAAGCCTATAAATAAGCTTCATAAGTAACTTATGAAGGGTAGAGAATAATAGAAGAGAAATAAAAAATTGAGAACTTATCTCTCAGTATTGTTCTTCTTCGGTGACTGGTGGATTTTAATCAGATGTTTTTTCTCCTGAGAAAATTGGCTGCCAGGCGGTAAGGACGGCCTCACACCCGCTGTGGAAATCGACCGTCGACTGTGAACGACGGCGGCCGCCCAAGCCCTCCAGCAAAAACCCTAGACTAATACCCTAGTTCATGAATTGAAGGAGAAATAATCTAATGAGTTTTGAACCCAAATCCTATAAGAAATAGGATAAGAGCTAATGAGTATTGACTTGCTTTCATATAACCCGAAACCCATTTCTAATTTGCATAGATCTATCGGGTTTGGACCCGAACCCATTTATGACCCGTACCCGACCCAAGTTCAAATTTGATTTTGAACTTAATTATGTAAAATGGGTCTAACCCGTAAACAAGACCTGAACCCGAACCCTATTAGATTTGAATTTTATAGTAGAATTAATCGAAGACCCCCTAATTGACTCAGAAATTATTCTGAAGTCCATCAGGATCTCAAATACGCTATAAAATTAGTTATAGCTCTTTGATTGACCTAGAAATGTCTGCCAATATTGATAAATTGTTGTAGAATTAGTTACAGATCCTGATTGATCCAAAAATTATTCTGGAGTTCACTGGTTTATTAAATTTGTTGTAAAATTAGTTTCAGCCCGCTCACTGATCCAGAAATTATTCTATAGGCCATCTGTTAAAGATTAATTTCTGATTAGTCCCTAACAGTTGAAGAATTTTTTGGAAGCCCATATGCTTATATAATTTATTTTCTTTTGTTAAAAAGATTATTTAACTCTTGTTGAGTTAAAAATTGATAGTGTATCATGTGTATTTATCAAATACTTGTTTAAGTTATGCATGTGATATGGTTGTATTGTTTTTAAATTAGTTAATTTCAATTCATGTGATTAAAGGATTACATGGAAAATTACTGCTAGGTCGAGAATATGTTATGAAAATTTTATTAAATATAAACAATTTAGAATTTATAAGAAATTGACTGATTATTAAATTCACAAATTTTGTTGTGTTCTTACAATTATGATAAATAATAAAAGTTGTATAGAAGTGTAGATAGATTATTATTTAAAGAAATAAAAATCTAAAGGTCTTTTACTGTAGAGATATAATTCAGATAATAGCTTTAACTTATCTGAAGCCAGACATGATAGGATTTGTTAAAACTCATTATCTAGTTATATCTCGCATAAGGAAGTTAAATATTTTATGTATAATGGATCACTTAGCTACAATAGGAGGTGCAACCTGTAAATGATTGAATTGGTGGGTACACACCTCATTAATGTTTTAGGTGCTCACAATAATAGTGGAGTTAACTCTTACATTAAACACTAAAATTAAAGAAAAGTCATTTATTTGTAATGATTGAATAGATGATTCTACCTTATTTATTTATATTCTTTCCTGATAGTCTAAAAATGTATAAATAAGCTTGGATTTTTTGTTCACATTTAAATAAATAAGAGAAATGTTAAATGTGAAGTCATTACTTAAAATATCCCTAGTAATAATTATGCAATAATAAAATAATAATTTGGGATATTTGTGTTATCATATTCTGCTTATACATGATGACTAAAGTTATCATTTTGATATGTTATTGAATGATTATAAATTAAATAGCCCTAACTATTGGATTGGAAAAGAAATCTATTTAATATCTTTATAGCTGAAAATAACCTAAGATTGTCAAATGGACATATCCGCTAAACTAGATATAATTGGTGACAGGGATCATCGGTCATGACTCTACTCAAAGATAATAATAGTAAAGGAGTATTCATAAGATGAGCACATATATATATTTTCATAAGATGATTTGATACATATATTGACAAATTAGATTTCTTAGAAGTTGAGATCAAGATCAAACGTTGATATGATTTTTACTTCTCAATTTCCATTCCTTGTTCAGTATAAAGTGAATATTTTAGAATTCAAGATCTCACTATTATTATACTAAAGCTGAACAATTTGTTGTGAAAGGAAAAAGAATATTATGAAGCAAGTTAAAACCATAGTGATGAATATCGAACTGGGTTGTCCACTATTAAGAAAAGAAAGTTTTTCTAAGAGAGAAATTTGAAAAGGAAAATAAATTTTTGAACATAAAGCGGGAATTTAAATAATGAAAGTTATTAGAAAAAGAAATTGTAAATGTTGCATCACATCACTTAAGAAAAAAATATCTTTTAAAGATAGATCACCTCATTATTTAGTAGAGGTTAATAATGTTAGTGATTCTTTATATATGATGTATTGATTCTAGTTCATCTTCACATTCTTACAAATTGTTGTAAGAGTATAACAAATGCATAAATATGAAGATAGAAAGATTAACTTTGACAATAGAAATAAAAACCTAGTTTCAGCATTGTAAATGAGAAATTTATTTCTGAATTTGAGTAAATGACATGAAGTGGAACTTAAAGATTATCTTAATGTTTCTTGAAGTTAGAGGAAATTTGAATTCTATTTTCTAAACTTTATAGCCGTGATTGTCTATTTTATTGTAAAATAAAACCTCTATTAAAGTTTGAAAATTTCTTTGTTCATCATTATGAAATTAAAACCGTTTATATTTCATAATTATTGCCCTTAACTCTTATGTAATGTTATTGGA